GACGCCCTGTTTAGATACGCAATGGCTGTTTGCAGAAGACTTGGAGGTTCCGCCAAATCACAAGACAAAGGTGTGGCATCTATAAATCTAGCACAAGCGGTTCCAAAAATGCGTTTGAACAACATGGACGACGCACTGTTTGAATACCCAACGGATCTTTGGAATCTATTCGCATGAGACTTGGAGGTTGCGTCAAATAGAGAAGTGCGGCATCTATCTAGCACAAACGGCTCTGAAAGCGCTTTTGAACAACGTGGAAGACCCATTCTTTGAACACCCAACGGATTCTTGGAATCTATCTGCAGAAGACTTGGAGGTTCCATCAAATCATAAGACAAGGGCGTGGCATCTATATATCTAGCATAAGTGGCTCTGAAAATGCCTTTGAACACCGTGGAAGACCCCCTGTTCAACAGCAAGTGAAGTGGGCAACCAATTTCGCAGAATTGTTTGGGAACTTGTCTCAGCAAAAAGATGGTTGCATCGACTCGGCACAACAAACTGAGCCATGTGTTTCACAACATGTCTCGGAATCTGTGCCAAGAATTTGAAGCATCTTGTGAGCAGTGGATTGATTGGGGAGCGCTTGACAGAGGAAAACTTGGAGGCTGGCGCCACAACATAACTTATAGGGCGTGAAAGCACGGACGCATTTTGGACAATCGGCCTTAAGCTTCTTAAAAGTTACAGCGGCAAAAAAAAAAGCTTTCACGAAGGAAACCATAGGTTCAAATCAGCCAATGGCCAACGGCCAATACTAGAAACACACAACAAACCCTGCCCGCCGCCACGCCTTTTGTTTGCGTCCCACCGGCCAGCCCGACTAGGCTTGCTCGCAACGGTCCAGCCGGAAAATGAAAGAAGGCTTAGGCCAAGCTCACTCACCGTGAGTCCGGCACACCCTCCCCGGTTCTTGCAAGTGTGTCCGGCCCAGCCAATAAAAAGAGGCCCAGCACTCACCATCTTGAGGCCGCGGAAGCAAAGCTTCCTCAAAAGGTTCACCCGAAGGTGCCCCCCACGGGCGCTGCCAAGATGAGGTCCACACAAGCCGTCCCCAGATCGCTGGGTGGCGCTCCTGCACGGTCAACCGCGAGACCCCACCCCCACCCCCACCAGGCATGTGGTATACAGACTGAAACCTGCACACAGGGCCAGCGAAGCTGCCTTTTGTGCCACATGCCCAGCGAAGGCAGGCTGACTAACAAATCCCAACCAGCCCGAAGCAAGCAAGTCCAGCCAGCCCAGCCAGCAAGACACAAAACTTCACCGCAACACAGCAATCGCAAGTCAAAATCCAATTGTTGGAGGCCCTGTGCACCAAGGCAATTTCTGTTTATAGGACGGAAAGTGCTAGTAAGCATTTTTTTGGAAGAATCATTCTACGAAGATGAACTCATCTAGTCCGTCTTCCAGCCATGAGTGCCATCGGTGTTTGGCCAGCTACTCACAGATCCCAAACACCTGACTCAAAAGAATTTGTTTCAAACCATCAATGACTGATGACAAGCTGTTCTTGTTCGATTTGTGTTGATTGCTCTACGGTATCTTTTTGAGCCCTTTTGTCAATTCATACAACATCCGGAAATGCCTTGATCTACTCTTTGCCTTGTTTGGGGCCCAGATTGAAACCACGCAACCAGTTATGCCATGTTATGCCTCTCCTGAACACACCCATCGAATTACCGATGGCGCAGAAACACTAAGCGCACCGAGCCAACTGCAGAAATGTCCAAGCAATCCAGGACGGTTCATGATGTACTAAAAGCCGGCTAAGAGGAACGACTCTTCTGCAAGACCGTTGTGTCAGAAATCAACTAAACTTGACAATTGTTGATGCAAAAGGGATTCGATTGCAGAGGGATCTATGAGAGAACTCTCCTTCAACTGATGTCCCATGGGTTGTAGTTGTCAAGCTTCTCTTTATTTCTTCTCATTTCGAACTCATCTAACTGCAACTACATTATCTTTACTCTTGGGAATTCCGTGCTCCCATCACCTATTCCGGAAATCTCGCAATGCAACGCTCCTCAGTATCATTTGATACTTTACGGAAAATACAAGTGCCTTAAAACACCAAAATGATGTCCCAGTTTCTCACTAACATGCCAGTATCCATCTAAAAAGTCTAAAGTACAGCATATAGATATACACTATATATATAATACAAATACAGCACATGTACAAAGATACAACGTATATAATGTGTACACACATATACATATATAATCATATATATACATATATCATACAACATATATACATGTACATATGATTATATGTATATATATATATATCCCCCCCCCTTTAAGGGGGGGGGTGGGGGGGGTAAAAACTGAAATATTTCACTTTAGGGGGGGGTCTCCCCCCCCACACACCTAGAAATATTTCACCTCCCTAAAGTGAAATATTTCAGCTAAAAAAATCTGGTCTATAATGGCTTTGGGCGTGGTTGAATTCAAGGCTGAACGTCATGTTCTGAAGGCTGTTTGGCAAGTTCACTCTCTTATTTACTTTCTTGGAAACCGGCAGTTACCATTTACCTAGTTGTCAGTGTTTGCGCGTGGGCCCTACCCGCGTAAGGACTAAAAAGGTCCAAAAAGGAACAGCGTCCGGAGGAACCCCCCCCCCCCACGTCTTTTAGAAGCCCAAAAAAATACGTGGGGGGGGTATATTTCACGTGGTCAGGTGAAATATTTCTCAGAAATTTCTTGCCTTACCCCCCCCAAATATTCCAGGGTTAAAGGGGGGGATATATATATATTTAACATATCAGAGATATGTCACAAACAAATGTCATATACATATGTAATGTGGTACTTTTATATAGTATCATATGCACGCCTCAAGTTTCCACCGGTGTTTTTTAAGGGGGAATCATCTTTTGGGAAATGCGTCAAATACACTCAAGACTCCATGCTATGTCTTACTGCAGTGTCTGCTGCCGTGATGGTCTCACTCAAACCTCAGCCAACATTTGGTTGCCGAAATGGACGTGGAATAACAATAACACTTCAAAAACCATTTATAATATATATATATGTATAAAACCCTTGGAAATGCAACTTCGTCACAAGTCCGCAAGCAACAAAAGTCCCATACACGCCCATCCACAACAAAGTCGCAACACAGTCAACCAACCGTGACCCCGGATGGTCCAAGCTATTGTGGCACACAACCAACAAGCAGAATCTTCGGCAGGTGTAATAAAGGACTATGACGAAAATTGACGAAATTTGCCAGCTACAGCCTTCCGACTGCGCATTCACTGTGGCTGTGACCCGTTGTCTCATCTCACCTTTTCCTAAACATGTTTGTGGGATGAACTCAGACTGCACCAGGTGAGGGTTGCTGATACTTTGATGCATGCAATGGGGCGATGAATCTCTCTGCGCCAACAAAGTGATACATACACATACACATGGATATGTATGTGTATATATATATACACATTTTGTGTATGACAAGTATAATATGCTATAATAATTGATAATTAATAGGCATGTGATGGCATGTGCATGTATTATCATGTATTGTAATCTGTAGGTGAGACGGTGTGCGGACATCTCCTGCAAAGAATTGTTGCGACATATTCCAAAGCGGCGGAGCAAATCACTCAAAAGCCAGTGTCGCAGAGCATGTCAGCCGTGGGATCTGCGCCGGAATTTGCGCAGGGCTATTGGATTTGATCAAGCTCCATGTTTCAGCCGGGCTTATTTGCTACCCAATGAATGCTCATATCACACTCCCATGGCAGAAAGACCTTTAGCGACACAAAGTAAACCTTTGGAAACGCTCATGAAAGACCAAAGTATTGGGCTGCACTGCTTCAGCAGAAACATGTTGTGAAAAATAATTTGGTCAAAGTGCATTGTATTCACTATCGCTACTCAAATCATTCAACGATATTCAAAGACACCCTCAGGCGGGCTTGAGATCTGACCTGCCGAAGCAAACCAAGGCTTTGGGGCATCTGACTCTTCCAAAATGGCACTGTCAGACTTCATCCTTTTGGGAGGTGAACGGCATCGAACGGCTAAACCTCCGCTTTCCGATAAATCAACTTGCGACCAACGTTGAAATCATTCCCGCACTCAATCTCAGTGGGTTTCCTTGCAAGCCTAAACATATTTAAACTTCTTTTTAGCTGGGTTCGCGTGCTATTTTTGGATATAAAAATGGAGGTCCCCCGTGCGCGCGAACCCAACCAAAAAAATAGTTCAAATGCAAACGCTTGCTAAGTTAGCACTGCACCAGCCCTGCATGTGCGAAGGCTACTTACACTGGACGGCACTTTCACATACAAGATTGGCCTGGGTCTGCTAGGAGCAGTCAATTGGAGACCGCAAAACGATGGCAACATGCTGAAGCAAATGCAGCACAGCATGCAGTGTCGATCCGTGCCAATTTGACCATGTTGGAAAGGAGACGCCACTGACACAGGAATCATGAATATTCACAAATCATTTTATGGTAGTTTATGTGATTGACCCAAATCCACCTAGCGCGAAATGAGCGCGGAATGACCAGATTGGATTGTAAAGCCCAACATTGCCCCGAATTTGTCCCAATGACAAGACAATCTCAGGCATGCGCAAATACGAGTGGCCATCTGGCCCAATGTACATGGGGCAAATACCCTGTATACAACAGCAGCAAATGACCAGCCCCCCGACTGCATGCAACTGTTATGCAAAGCTTTTGATGCTTTTGCCTATCTTCAAGGATGTGCCCACACAAGGTGACGGCGGCCTGTTATGGATGCCAACTTATGCTTGAGGCTAGCGGTACTTTGGGTACACACCTATGCGCAGCAACGCAGCAAAGAACATGCTGTTACACCTTCTGGCCACAACCTTGTCCCACAACAGTGGGTCGATGGGTAAACAACCAAACAATGTTCTATTTTTCTCCCCCGCGCGTTTTCCTTGCAGAGAATGTCTGCACGCTGGTCAAACATGAATTCCACCATTCTGGTACTTCTTTCCATGGCGTTGCCTTTGCTGTTCTCTGCTTGGCTTGAAATGGCTTGAATGACAACTTTGGATAACGTTGGGCTATGCCACTGCCACTGAGTGAACTTTGTCTCTTGTCGCGTCTGAATTTGCTCTCGCTCAGGTCCCTTCGGGATGCTGCGACATTCTTGAGAGCTCCTGGAGATATCCACCGGTTCTATGTTAAATTTTGAAAGGAAAATCAAATGGCAATGTATATATTCTTTTTACATGTATAGACACACATACACATGTATGCTTGAAAGTGCACCAGCATAGCAACACACATATCATCATCATGCACATGTATATGCAATACATATGCGTCGGATCGGACTGGACTGGAATCGGCGAACCAAATTATTCAAATTCCAATTGACAATGTACCGTTTCTATTAAAACCGCCCCTAGGGCCTAGGGCAATCCTTTTGGTATCTGAGAATCGAAGGTCCTTCAGTAGGATATCCATCTGAACGTCAATGTTCTTCAGCTGGCCCGCCATCTTCACCACGGTGCTGACCATAGACTCCTGCTCTTTTTGCTTCTGAACTTCCAAATCGCAACTGCGAATGTGATGCTAACTACCGTTTGGCAGACTGGGCCTTTGTGATTCCTCACTGTGTGATGGCCATGAAATCAAATATTCAAAAATAGGTGATACAAAGGCAGTGTCCTTGTTCGAAGGATCGTACTCTATAGACTTTGCGTCGTCATTTGAGTCCTGACCGCACTTCATGATCATCCTTTTTAAAATACAATTTTTGATTCAAGCTTTCTGCAGAGCACTAGCTAGAGAGAAGCACATTTCGTGATGTCCATGGGACAAGAGACTGCTTTGTGAATGTGCCTCCTTCTTGTCTTTCTTCTCATTCTTTTCCTTCGGTTCCCTCTCTTCTGGTTCTTCATTTTTCCTACCTGTAGCTTCACCCCAGGATACGTGGAAGTACTCAGGCTGTTGAACAAGAAAACACACAACCAGGATCCATGGTCTACCCATGCCAGCGTCTGAAAGTGGTCCGACTGAAGCCATTCAGCAGGGCATGAGTTGATAGGAAAGCAATATCTCAAGATTTGAGGAGCACGTTGCCATATGTTGCCATCATGGAGGAGCACGAGGCGCCCATGTCCGCAGCATCAATTTGACACAAACGGCCCATGACTCTTAAGCTAACAAGTCTTACAATTCTTGTACTTACACAACATGACTATCTTCCACCATCGCACTCTAGAACCCCCTACCATATCCCACTATTGACTGTTGCGTGCTTATGCTGCAATAGTTCTGTGCCATGATGTGCGCAAGGCCATTCTCTTACTGTAGCGCTTTGACATGAACCATTTTTTCACGCAAAGTAAGAGAATTGCATTTTGTCGAATGACACGATAGAGCAGCTGCGGCCTTCACTCTCCTTGTCAACATTGTCCTGCTCTGACAAGCTGCTGAACAATTTCTTGACCTTGGAACCTAGTCGGTACTTTAAGCATATATGCAGAATCGTAGGTCTGATCCACTTGCAAGTTCAAACTGCTGCAACAAGTTCTATCCCAGTCCATTAGTTTCATCTCTCCTCTGACAGCTTTTTTTTCAAAGCCTCATATCGCTCTTTCATTGCTTGGAACCTGAAAGGGACAATCGTGCGATGAGATTATTTTACTTCCAGCTATCGCTGCCATTCACAAAAGGTATATAATCAGTCTGACAAAAATGATGCCGCGTGTCTATACTGACATTTAATGACATTTATATATTCTGACATAATTTCATATAATTTCTGGCTTTTACCATGACATATACTTTGTTGTGTAGTCTGACTTGTAGTCTGCCACATCTTCTCACATATTTACAAACATATACTATGAGAAACATGTTTGCCTGCCACATACTCTGACATATGCACTGACATGTATGTAACATGTATTTTGAGATATTTTCCGTTCATGTATTCTGACATTTGCTCTGGCAAGTTTCGGGTGAAAATGCTCTGACATGTACAAAAAATGAGACGAGATTTGCCTTGGTACATTTCATGTTATATAATGACGTATTGTTTTCAGAGTTTCCAAGACTATTATATAAGAGGTGTTCTTGCATGTGTCCTGACATATGTTTTGAATCATTTTGATATCTCTTCTGACACTTGTCCGGGCATGGTCCAAGCACCGAGGACATAGAATGCAGTGAGGGTCCACGAATTTGGTCTAGGGTCGTGGGGCACAAACTGGCTCAGGGAGCTGGGTATTGGAGGCCAGCCAGGCCAGCACACTCTTAGCCACGAACAATTCCCATATGGTCTTCTCGTGTCTTCTCTCAACCCTGAAAGTGTTTTCTCTCCATGAAAATTTGCCATGAACAAATCTCATAAAGAAGATACCCCGAGAAGGAGATGCAGCAGGGTTGACCACAGAGCTCGGTCTTGCAAGTTGCAGGCTGCAGTTTCATGGCTTAGCATCAATTCACCACAATGGGGACGCCAAGGCAAGTTGTGAATGCTAAAGAATACTTGCCCAGCAGCCTAAATGCCACCATCTCCATCTCTGCAGTTTCAATTTGAAAGGTCGCGTGGAGATCATGGGAAATAAAAGACAAGTAAAGTGAGGAAATGTAGATTGGTATCTTGGTATCTATCATAGGCATGATAGGAATCCACACCCAAAATTGCATGGTCGGACCCTGCTGCGGAGCCTCTGCTTTGCTTCGTCAGTGCCACCATTCTTGTCTGGGTGCATCTTCTTGGCTAGTTTTCGATACCTGGAAACGCTCGCCAAAAAACGCCGCAATTGCAACAATTGAATCGTTTGCTTATGATAAGTCTCTGGCGCGTTGTCGAGGTCCCGCATTGTAGCATTTTCGTCAAGGTCAAAGAACTTCATATTTGACATCTCTCCAAGCCTGCGTGAATCCTTATAACTGACCAGAATTCTGCGTATAAAAATCCGAAATGTATCGGGGTTGGTATTTGGGGATGACTGTTGGGTCATGGTTTTGTAGCTGTAAAGTGGTGCTGCCCAACCCCAAACACTACATTATCCATGCAGAGGCTTAAAAAATCGCTACAAAAGTGCAACCCAACCTGGATAAAGGGCTGTTAAAAGAAACAGGGATGTGAGAAGAGGCCTTTCAAGATCCTCTTTAAAAACCAATTAGATGTTTGTAGCGATTTTTCTGTAGATCCCACTGATCGAATTTAAATGCCTTGTTTTTTAGCGCTTGCATTTTGTAGTGATCCTTATCGTGATGCAAGAGAAGTCACAGACCCAGCGAGTCTCAGCAGCAGGCCTACAAAATTCAAGTTTTTTTCATTTGAGAGGAGATGCCAATGATTTAGGCAATAAAGGTAAAACAGGGGGCCAGTAAGACAAGCTGCGGGGGCACCCTTCTACCTGAAACCTTGAGCCAAAATGGTCATTGAATGCTGAACTTTACAACCAAATGGCGAAAAGGGAGTTTAGTGGGCATTTGTCCCAATTATTTCTTCTCCCCCTCTCGCTGTACACCATCTGGGAGCTAGCCAGCTAACAGTTGCGCACCTGATAGCGATGGCCAAAAACTCTAGCTACAGCAAACGAAAAACCAGATGGCAAAGTAAGCGCAATCACATTGGTGAAAGTCAGCTTAAGTACTGTGCTACATTCGTAACTAGGATATGGATGGCATGCAACCTAATGCTCTGATGTTTGGATCGTTATCTTTGGGTGCGTGATCCGCTCCACCAGGCAAAGAGGTGATTACTCGGATTTACTCATATGGAGGGAAGTAAATGCTGTACATTCACTTGGAGGCAAGCAAAAGGAGCAGCCAAAATGGCTCACCATACTGCAGACTGTCTGCAGCGTGCTCACTTCGCTTGTAACTTCGGTGTTGGTTTCGTCTTTGGGTGTTACAAAACTACAGCACACACTACTGGGGTGAGGCGCGTTGAGACGCAGCACTCAAAATCGAACAACTAGAAGCACTACTGATGTGTTCATTCTTACTGGGGGATAGAAACCAACAACATCTAGTTACAAAATACAACCAACGGTGACAATGAGGCGCGAAATCGCAGCACTCGATACTACCCCTTCAGTTGTTCTAACGAATCTGGCACAATGCCAACCATTGACAGGGCATGACTCCATTTGTGGGCTTCGAGATTCTTCGTGAAGATGTCTGCCGACTGCATGTCTGTTGGACAATGCTGCAAAGCAACGTCTTCTTCTAGTCGAAAAATGTCATATAACCCATTGATATTTATTTTGTGGGTTTTGCCCAAATGACGGAGTTTTGCCAAAAACCCATTGTTGATGACTTGTATGGTAGCTGTGTTGTCCTGCTGACAGGTCATAGGCACTTGAGCCTTCAATACAGAGGCTAAATGTTCCTGAGCAGGGATGGCATCACCAAACAATGCTGCTGCGAGTGAAATCGCCTCAGCTTCCGTCGTCGATCTGCTGCATGCAGTCTGGCGTTTAGATTGGAACGCTATCGGAAAGTACGACTTTCCTCCAGCAATAACCAGTATTGAGCCTGACGTTGAGTAGCCATGATCTACTTTTGAAGCATGATCAGCATCTGTGAAAAGCCAAAGCTCCCACGGTGCATCCGGGTCCAGTCTGCATCTCATCTTATACCGCTTTGTGGAGTTGAGATAACAAAACACGCGGAACAATCTCCTATCGTCATTTAGGGACCAACGAGTGATTTGACGGCTCAACTCATTTAAAGAATGGAGCAGGTCTGGGCGCGAGAGACGTGCGAGCCAGTACCCTTTCATAATCACTTTGGCTGCCACATTGCTCAACTGCCCTTTGGTTTCCCAATCGTCGATTGGCAAAGTGGATTCATCGAGGTATGGTGTGGCTGCAGGTTTGAAGTTCTTGGTTCCAGTTACATCTTTGTAAAGTTGGCACGCTGCCTCAGCACAATCGTCCATGTTGAAGATGATGGTGTCACCAAGGAATTCATGCGACCTACCCAACACACGACTGACAGGGCCCGGCTCTTCGAAATTCAGATGTGTAGAGAGAGCCTTCCAGAAGATCTCGTGATTCTCTGATGGCCCTGATAGCACCATATCATCCACGTAAAGGGTTAGCCACAATTTCCACTGCTCGATGTAAAAATTGCTCGGGTAGAGGCTTGATTCTTTACCTCCGAGCAAACTCATCACCTGTTTGAATCTGTTGGACCAATGTCCTCCAGATTCAGGATGTCCGTATAATGCATTATAAAGCCTAGTGCATGGTCGATAGATGTGTTTGAACTCTGGAGGTGTTAATTCCGGAGGAAGTTCTACATACGTATCAACTAATGCTTTCAGGTCAGACTGTATGTAGGCTTTGATGATGTCACTTTGGGTGGATTTCTTACCCCTCTTCATTCCGTAAGCTAAATTCATGTTCAAGCCCGAAATCGTGGTGGGAACAACCTTGATTTCTTGAAATTCAGCGTACTGTCCAAAGGCATCCCTGACATCATCTCCTCTGAAGCAAATTCTTGCTTTTAACTTTCGCAAACTTTTGGATTCAGCATTTTTCCAAGAAACTAGCGTCAGCAGCTGACCTATCGCAATCTCCTTTCCTGAGGCGCGTGACTCGGCTTCAAGTTGAGATCTTGGAACAACTCGATCGTATGTCCACGTTCCTGCTTTCACGAGACCATCGGCCTCCTTCTTTACTTCTGCAAGTGCTGCAGGATCGTTGATCCAGTCCCTCCTGCTTATGACCTCATGGATTGACAATGGAATCTCATGGACATCCTTTGGTGAGATTTCATTTTGCACATGGGCTTGAGGGGTTGTTGGAACAACCGGCATAGACGGTACAGCTTGGTGAAAATTCTTTGGAAACAGCTGCGCAACAACGGCTTCGCACATTTTTGGCGGGTACAATGCAGACTTCTCAGCTTTGCCCCCCTCGCACGGAACATGCTTAAACGAAGGTTCATGCTGGCACGTGTGATTCCTAAGCATGCCTGCCAAGTCTTCACTTGAAGTTGCAATTGTCCAAGGTTTAAAATGCTCACCGCCAAATGCACACGCGTTACATTTAGCCAAGTGGAGCTGGTGTCTGTTGCAGAAATCTTGGAGTTCTACCAATCTCCATCCTTGGCAGTGTGAAGGCCATTCGAAATGGACACGGCCGCCTTGAGCTAAAACAATCTCAGCAAATTCGATGAAAGTCTTTAACATCTTTCTGCTTTCTAATTGTCTTCTAAGTAGCTTTCTGAGGTATGACGCGCCGTATCGATGAATGTTCATGCGCTGCCATGAAGTCCAAGGTTTGCAAGGCAGTGAAGCCCACAAATCGAGGCCTCGCATTTCAGGCTCGCGCAGCTTCTCATGTAACTGGTCTATGACTTGTTTGTCACTGATGTTGCCCCATTTCTCGCTCAATCTAATGCGCGATAGCCCTATTTGTTCTGACACATTCCCAAGGCCAGAGTTTGGATCACAACAGCATTCAATAAAGATCCCATAGCCAGGCAAATTTTGTTGATGCAAAACTTTGGTTCTGCGACTGGAAAGGTCACGCCGCACATCATGCACTTCTGCAGGAACAGCATCGCCTTCCTCTAGGATGTCGAAGTTGAAATTCCGGTCCAAAAGCCTCGAAGAGCTTTGGTGTTGCCTCGCCACTCCTCACAAGGAATGGTTTCAACTTCTCCCCCATCAACAAATTGAATCTGAGTAATCCTCTTTCCGATCCTCGCCCTAGGAACTGGAAGTTCATAGGGTTTTGGTTGGGACAAACAAACGCTTTCTTTTGATACAGTGATATCTAATCAACTTGCTTCCTTCAATTTTCCATGAGTCTCTATCACGAGGAATTCCATCTGGCAAATCAAATTTGGCCTTCCTAATCAGTTCATCGAAGCGCTGTCTGCAAGCGGGGGTATGATTGTCTAAACCCTCAGAGCAAGCTGTGCAACCTGTGCTTGGCCCATGATCGATAAACCTTTCAAGAGTGATCTTCTCGTGGCGTTTTCTAGGCTCATCCTCTTCTGCCTCTTCTTCGGAAACACCTGGATCGTCAATTGCCTTGATATCCTCCTCGATCGTGGAGTCTGCAAACAAACGCGGCAAGTCTTCCAACTGCCCAAGTTGCTTTTGGACTGCTTCCCTCAATGGAAAATAACTTCCTTCTTTGTGTGACACAACAGTCATGGATGTCGTTGTGGACAAGGATCCTTTGCCAGAAATCCATGAACGGACAACTTCTAGATCTACAATCTTGTACACTCCTTTCCAGTTCACCCCTGCATCAACCCGCCAACCCAAAAACAAACCTGGTCTTGTCTTAGAACCTAGCTTGGACTTTCGCAAATCGGGCCTGTAGTGAATCAAAGCACCAAATGGATACTTGAGACCAGTGAACTCGTGTTTGTGAATCGCACTCCAAACTTCGAAAGTCATTGCGGCTGCAGCATATTGAACTGCGAAAGGCCACAGCGCATTTCTGTTCCCAGCCTGAACCAGACAGCATCTCACGCAATCCTCCAATGTTCGAATCTTGCGATTGATCAATGAGGTTTTGCGATATGGGACGGCAAGGTCCGGCACAAGTCCAAGTTTCGCAGCACAGGCTTCAAGCTCTGGCGCGTTATCAGAATGCAATTCGTTAGCTGATCTACTACCTAGGAAATGGTTACAGGCCCGAATGCAATTGTCAGTGTTGTTTGAACTGGCAGGGTACGCTCCTACTGCTTGAGTGAAATCATCAAAAAGGATTAGGCAGACAGCTTCGCCATTGACCCCTTTCTGTTCACTGCTGAGGCGATCCTTGGAAACGATGATGTGATCTGCATGGATTCGGTCGCCAAACTTTTCACTTGGACGACCGTCTGACATGACATGCTTACCCTTCACCTTTCTCGCTGGCAAGGCATCTTGCTTCGCTTCTTGGCAGACT